GATTAGTATTTACACGGAGTGATCAATAGAAAAAAGGTCTATGGGACTCGTGCTGAGAGTTTCCAGACACTGTAGAATATAGAATTAAACGTCCTCTATAAGGAATACTGGAAGCGCGGCTTTTTCCTATTCTCCGTGAATCAACGCAGTCGCTAAACACCATTAAGTGCTTATGCTAAGCGATTATTATGTATTCATTCGGACGCTCAGCGCTTCGAAGAGGAAGCTCGAGTTGGACAGTGTCCTGCCGGCGGTTATCTAGTGCCTTCATGCTGGCAGAATGCCTTTGCCGGCGTTTATTCATGCTGCCAGAATGCCCTTACCGGCGTTTATTTAGTGCCTTCATGATGGCAATATGCCTTTGCCAGCGGTTATCTAATGCCTTCATGTTGTTAGAATGCCTTTGCCGGCGTTTATCTAGTGCCTTCATGTTGACATTATGCCTTTGCCAGCGGTTATCTAATGCCTTCATGTTGTTAGAATGCCGTTGCCGGCGTTTATCTAGTGCCTTCATGTTGACATTATGCCTTTGCCAGCGGTTATCTAATGCCTTCATGTTGTTAGAATGCCGTTGCCGGCGTTTATCTAGTGCCTTCATGTTGGCAGAATGCCTGTGCCTTAGAGGACAAGATGGCAGTGGTTTCGCTTTCGTCGTCGTCCGCATTTTATGAGCGTTGACATTATGAGATAATAATGTGTTTTTTCTTTTTGCTATGTAATATTTTTCGCTAATCTTTTCTTTGATTTTCACTGATAAAAATTGGATTCATCTGCGAAATACAAGGCGTCGCCATTGTGAAGAAATCTACGGTCAGCATCACTCGCATTTCATTACTTTCCTCGCCCTTCGGATCTGATAAAATTTACGCTTCAGAACGCTGACGTGGCATCTGTCGACAGTTTACCAAATGTCTTACACTGGAAACCATTCTTGCAGTTGAAAGGAAATGCACATGTATTTATTCATAAATACATAATTCACACACCAAATTCTAAATTCTTTTGTTCTACAATTATATATAATCCTCTTAGTACTTGACACAGGCAGGGCTGACCTCCACTCTGTTCGGTCTGGCAGCAGTAGTGGTACCTGTCCGATAAATGGTCCATGAGAGAAACGCATGTGACACTATCTCTTTTATAGCTGACCAGTTGTGGGTTTAATGTGCAGGGATCTGAGAGTCTTTGTTGTGGGGAAGGGGGAAAGCACGCAATGCTCTGCTGTGTGTGTGTGTGTGTGTGAAAAAGTGAGATATTATGGGTGTCTACGCTCTTTGCTTTGTTTCGCCTGAGTGCCGTGTGCCATACATGGCCTTGAAGCCATCGAGTGTGAATGCATCATGACCAAATCTTCCGCCTTTGATTCCAAGTTATTCCTCAACAGCATCACAAGATTCCCATCTACATCTGGTACGAGGGTTATGACCCCCACGTGGAGGACACGTATAAGGGGCGCGCGTCCAGGGTGTCGCAGGACACCACGTACGGCCTGGCCTCCCTCAACCTGACCAATGTCAGGGAGGACGACCAGGGCTGGTATGAGTGCAAGGTCTTCTACCTGGACCGGACTGGATCCCCCGACAACGGCACGTGGATCCACCTAGATGTTCATGGTGAGTGTGGTTCCTGGATTTGTGGAGGTGCAGACATGCCCTGCCAAACAGTGCATGTAAGAGAATGTTAGACCTGATGACCAGAGGAGTCAGGTAAATCACTCATTAGTCATGGTCTTAAGCATCATATTTATACCATATTTATCACAATATTTCCACTCCTGCTAAAAGTATATTACCTGTATCGACATGCAATAGTAACTCACAAACTAAAACTAGGAAACACTTGCCTGTCACTCTTGATCTGGCAGTATCGGCTGAGCCTGATATCACCTAACCATGAGTGTAGGTAAAGTTAGTTGTGTTCAACATCAATGAAGTTCTCAGTGTATTTTTAGTCCTTTTACATTTCATTATGGGGACCATCCTGCATGGGGTATAGGTATGGAGAGTAAAAAAGTTGAAAAACCTCTATATCTAGAAAAATGCTACAACAATTTTCTTTTCCATAACAATCAAACTTTGCTTTTTTCAATTATTTATGGTGTATTTGATATGAATCTGATTTTTCCATTGTAAATGACTGGTTCAGGAGATACAACTGTACCGTATAATGTTCCTGGTAATGGATAAAAGTAATAAATAACACTGTAAATTTAGAACAGGATCACTTTTTATTACTTTTATTGCTTGATATCTGTTCTGAACTGGTGATATTTGATAGAAGATACCAATTTAAAGTGCAACCAGAAAAAGTGGAAAAAAGCAAAGCAAAGTGCGTTGCTTTCACCGAAGTACCAGTGTGCATAGTACTTCCAATTTAGAAATATAAAACACCATTCATTTATAAGAACTGTAATTTATTGTCAATCTAATTTTATTGTAAAATTGACTGGTGAGTAAAAGTCATTATAAAATGTTAGCCATCATACCACTAATGCTTCTAAGATACAAGCCTCTCCACATCTTTACTATTTTTCCAGAGATACATTCATGATTATATAGAAATATTTTTACACAAAATTGTAAAAAAAGTTAAAATTAAACAAAATTAAAAACAAAGCATCTTATTGTGCAGTTAGCTGCCACACTATGGCATGGGCGTGAAAGCACTTGAGAGGCACAACCAAAGGGCGTGTGGCCTTCCATATAGTGCACTGTACCATTTACAGCTACATGCCTACCCTTCATTTTTGACCATTAGTTTCATTAAGAAGAGAATATACATTTCAAAAAAATGAGACCAGTTCCAAATAAATATGCCCTTTTTCTTGTTAGTACTTCCATGTTTTTTTCATATTGTGTTTCAAATAAGATTTTAAAACTATACCAATTTTTTTCTCTGAGTTTTGAGATATCCTCTTAGCCAAAAATATAGAGTGGTGTGATTTTGAAGTCGCAGGCTACAAATGATATAAATAATCTATAAACAGAACAGTTACAAAAATGAGCCCAGACATGTTATCACATTTTTGTCTAAAGATATAATTTGGTAAGAAAATACTTTCAAATCCAATTTAAACATTGAAAGCATCATTACCATCATTATTGTGTTATTATTGTTATTATTACTTTTATTATAATTCTCTTAATTTTTTCTGAGATTTTATTTGTAGATGAAAGATTTTCCCATTTGGTAGAATTTTGTAAGGATGTTAAAGGAAAATTATTCTTAGTGACTAAAAATTTATAGTATATGTTATTTTTTTCCACTTGTTCTCTGATATAATTGAATTATTTCATACACAAAGGGGATATCCATTTCCTTCTAGGAGTCTCCAGATTTTTACATCAGGAATTGCATAACAATAATAAACAATATATATGAATTGTAAGTATTTCTGCATGACATAACATTTTTAGAGCAAAATTTTAATTTTACCTCATTTTCCTCCCTTGAGGGTCTCTTCAAAACAAAAAAGACCAAACTGCCAAAAATATGAAGTTTATTGAATGACACTTACGGTGTATCTCCTCCAGTACGATATGGGGCAGTCATAAAGAAATCCTTTTTTTTCTTTCTTTCTTTCTTTCTATCTTTCTTTCTTTCTTTACTTTTCTTTTCTTTACTTTTTCTTTTCTTTTCTTTTCTTTTCTTTTCTTTTCCCTTTTCTTTTTCATAGTTCATGCCAAGTCTAGGATGTATCCATGTGCTGATGTGTCATGTATGCAGCAATTCTAATCAGATGGAGGGACATATTAAACATTCAAATTACTGAAGTTAAGAATGTGTTATTTTAACATTGCAAAGAAATGTATGCTTTTGTAAGCATACTGAATCTGTATATTGCAAAGCTATGATATTTAACAATATTTTTTTTTTCGCAGCTCCGCCTCGGTTTACAACAACACCAGATGATGTTACTTACGTTAATATTGGTAACTCCATCATCCTTAATTGTGAGGCAGAGGGAACCCCCAAACCAGAGATATTCTGGTTTAGAGATGATGAGCCTGTAGTACCCTCTGACAGTGTTGGCATCTTTAATGATGGCACAGAGCTTCGAATCAACAAGATCAGAGACCAAGATATTGGTGACTATGTCTGTGTAGCACGTAATGCTGAAGGACGAGTTCACCATGAAGCCAAAGTTGTTATTGCTGGTATGTACTAATAAAAGTATAATTGTAAGTAGTGTTTTTAATTTGAATATTTAAGCAAAATATTCACTTTTTTACATGAAAGATCAACAATTTGAGCTATTAGATCCATTTTTATTGATTATCATTTTTTTTCAGGTGGTGCTGTAATTGTTACTCCACCACAGAACCAAACACGTCAAGAGGGAGAAAAGGTTGAGTTTCCCTGTGAAGCAAAAGCTTTGCCAGGCAATGTAACAGTCATTTGGAAGAGGGAAGGTGTAGCCATTGACAAGCTTTCTTGGCTTGATATCCGTGCTATCGTCAGGAAAGATGGGGCTCTTGTGATCAATCCTACCAGTGCAGATGATGGCGGGTTCTTCACATGTGAAGTGTCCAATGGCATCGGGACACCTCAACGTGCCACAGCTTACCTCAATGTAGAATGTAAGTTGACTCTGAGAGGTCTTATGGTTAATAATTGCAAAGGTACTATTTTGATTTTGTATGACCTTTTACCTTATCATTGTTTCCTATGATGGGATGATAGTTGTTTTGCTCATGGAAGGTTTTGAAGATAAGCAAATTCTCCTTTTTACAGATCCAGCACGAGTAACTTATACTCCAACTGTGCAGTATCTCCCCTTCAGGCAGCAGGGAATTATCAAGTGCTTTATTAAAAGCAACCCTCCCATTCAGTTTGTTACCTGGATAAAAGACAAGCGTCTCTTTGATGCAGAGAAAGAAAATACTGTAGTCAAACTTAATAATGGCTCTCTGCTTATAACTAAGGTATGTTTTGAAATATTGTATACTGAGAATAAGGTAATCTTAATGAAACAGCATGCTTGTTCTATATTATATGCACATATATATCTGTCCCCAGCTCCCGATGAAAATGGATATCTACACTTTACAGGCAGTTTCAGTTCATATACTATTTCTTGGCTGTTACTTATCACATTATTTGAATGTCAAACAGTAAATGCTAGTGTGTGTCTGTTGGTGTTGTTGGCAGTTTTTGGTTGCTTCAAAGTAATTTGAAAAATGTATGAATAAACACCAGTTAAAGAGAAATAAATAGCATTTTTATTTCTATGATCATGTAGCATCTAGAATTTCTCAAGGTAACAGAACAGGGATTGGATCTGCAGTTACTGAATTTTCTTTCAGGTCAATCAATCTCATCAGGGACGCTATAGTTGCACACCTTACAACCGCCACACCACGGCCGGTTCCTCTGGTGATATGGAGGTAATTTGTGTTACCCATGATTGAAACAGCTCTTAATGAAATACATCAATAGATCAGTGTATAAATTATCTGTTTTTCAGTGGCAGAATAGACTAGTTTCATATTGTAATCATAGTAGCAAGATTACATAACAGACTTCATTTTGATTTTTTATTAATATGGTCCTTCATTTATTTTTTAATGATTACAATACCATCATACAGGTTATAGTTCGTGATCCACCAGTATTTTCGCCTAGACCCCAGCTTCAGTATCACGGACAGGTAGGAGAGGAAGTGACTCTCGTATGTGGAGGTCAAGGCTCTCCAACTCCAGAAGTTACTTGGAAAAGGGTATGTAATATGAATGAATTTCATAACATATATGTATATCATTATACTGCATGTTTTCTATCAGTGTATTTGCTCTCTCTTTAGTATAACAAAATACAATTATGTAGCTGAATAAGTTTCTGAAAATAAATGATAAATTTTTTAGAAATTAGCTTTGTGAAAGCATATACTACGCTTCATGATGGAGCCTCTTGAAATTTTGAATTTTGTTCACAAACCCTCCATTCTACCTCTAGGATCATGGGTCTGTGAACCACCAATTAGGAACTTCTGCTCTAGAGAGATAATTGAAAAGTTTTAAAAGTACATGATATGCTGATCTCTTTTGATGTCATTTTCAGCGTGATAACCAAAATCTGCCAAGGGATCGTACTGACATTGTGGGAGGAAATCTTACCATCCGTTCTCTCCGAAAAAGTGATCATGCATATTATGAGTGCATGGTTAGCAATGAAATTGCAACTTTGGTAACAGCAACACAGTTACTGGTGGAAGGCACAACACCTCATCCACCATACAATATCACAAGTGAAACAGATCCATTTAGTGTGAAATTATCTTGGCTACCTGGCTATCCTGGGGGCAAGGACTGGGAGCAGCAATATACTATATGGTAATTTATTAATTTTACTTAGTAGTGAATAATGTAGAAATGAGATGAACTGCAGATAGAGCAGTCATTCAGGATACATTGTGTATCAAAACATTTAATGGAACATGAACAATTGTTACAGTAATTCAAACATTTCTTATTCAATTAAAAAATGAGTGTTACTAATTTCTCTTTTCTCTCTTTTCTTTAGGTACCGAGCATTAGGTTTTCGAACTTGGTCTCAAATAGATGTAAAGCCTGCTGGAAGCACCAGTATAACTATACATAATTTCCTGGCCATACATAGTTTCCAGGTTCAGGGCAAAAATATGCTGGGGGATGGCATGTTCTCTGACGTAGTAACAGCTACCACTGAAGGTATGGAAAGTCTTTCTGTTCACTGACAGTTCCCTTCTTCACATATGCAGGGAAATTTATTGTCTTCTCATCTGCAATATTTTAAAGATTATAATGTTAGAATTATCAAAACATATGAAGATGTGTGAAAATGAGATGTATAATATGATGGTGGATCCCTTTTGTCTGATTTTTTTTTTTTTTTGTGTGTGTGTGTGTGTGTGTGTGTGTGTGTGTGTGTGTGTGTGTGTGTGTGTGTGTGTGTGTGTGTGTGTGTGTGTCTGTGTGTCTGTGTGTCTGTGTAGATGGAATAAAATGGATGTGTATGTGTAGTCATGTGTCATGTCTGTGTGCTTGTTCACATTTGTATGTGTAGTTTAGGTGATTAAAATATAGAATTAATACAAGAAAAATACAAAAGCCAAAAATGTAAGCTTCTTGGAATGCAAAGAAATTAATTTACTGAATTATTCAGCTATAGCAGATGGGAAGACAGTAATGCCATTGTGAAGGTTAATATAAGGTTTTGTATGCAAAGTGAGTGCACATGTACCTGAATTTAGTTAATTTATAGTTGATTCAGTAATTAGACAACTAACTTGGTGATGGCTTAGCAGAAGTAATCAGAGTAGATCACAATTATCTGTTGAAATAATATGCAACATGTAAAAGTGTGTTCATTAGCAGATTATATTCTACTATAGCAGTGGTGGATATCAGTTTGTAGTAAAAATCTGTAGTCTTCTTTGATGCTCTTGCTTTTATCAGATACAGTTGTAGTAGGGAATGAATCTGGGTCAGTATCATGCTGGCTTTGTGGCTTTAGTTTTCTGCTATTCTATTACACCTCATGGGTTTGCAGATGACATCTCTCATCAATTGCCAGTTTGCTTAAATCTTATTAGTGTAAATATTACTGGTGAGCAAAAAAAAATATGGAAAAAGAAAAAAGTTCAGGGATATTTTAACAGAAATGGATACTTCTCTCTAGAGATATCTTACTCTTTATTGACATTGTCTTTGTTTTTACTTGAAATTCCAGTGTCTGGTAGTCACAGAAGGCCTGCCTACTTTGCAAAATGTAGTTTACCAGATGTATTACAAAAATGGCATTTGTAAATAATTCTTTGAAATACATGTTATATAGGTAATATGGTCACCACTTTGCCTGACTGTCACATTCTGTGGGCTTATATTTCCCCACTTTAAACCTTTATTTTGCAGTTACTCTTTGCACAATAATGAGTAGACAATTGCATATTGAGGTTGTGAGTAGGTATTCCCATGCCTCACCCCTCTAGATAATTTTCTGTCACAGCATACAAATCCAAACACCCCTCACAACAAACATACAAATACAGGTAAGACTGTAAATAAACACATACACACCTATCACATTAACATATTTTTACCTCATCCCCCAACATTTTACTCTTCCTCCAACCACAGCTGATAATGTTTCACTTCTGTAGCACATGTGTTTAGCACATGTTCAGCTCAATCTGAAAAACATAAACAACATTGTTTACACTACTAAATTTTAAGGATGACCAGCTGGAGATCTTTGCAAGAGTTGAAGCTACAGTAAATAGAAAATAATAGTATTCATAGATACCTAGGATTGTACATCTTTTTATATTTTTTATTATTATATTTCAAGTAGAATTCACAAGTTACCTGGATTACAAACTACAGTCACAAAGTCGGCAGGCATACTGTAAGTGATTGAAAAAAGTTAATTCAGACCTGTTCATATACTTTTCTAAATTATAATCACTGGAACCTGCGGGATCAGGAATATTATTCAGTAGAATGAATTTTCTCTCTCTCTCTCTCTCTTTCTCTCTTACCCTTACTCACTCTTTCTCTGCTCCCTTACTTCTCTCTCCATTTCTCTCTCTCTCTCGCGCTACGCTCTCTCTCCTCTCTCTTCCCTCTCTATCACCCTTGCACTCTTCTCTCACCCATTCTCTCACTTTCCTCTCCTCTCTCTCTCATTCTCTATCTCTCTCTCTATCCCTATCTCTATCACCTCTTCTTAACCCTTATCTCTAGACCCCTTCTCTCTCCTTTTCTCTCTCTCTCTTTCTCTTTTCTCTCTCCCCTCTCTCTCTCTCCTCTTCTCCTCACTCTCTCTCTCTCTTCTCTATCTCTCCTCTCTCTTCTCTCTCTAACCTCTCTCTCTCCTCTCTCCCTCTCTTCTCTCTCTCTCTCTCTTCTTCTCTTCTCTCTCTCTCCCTCTCTCTCCTTCTCTCTCTCCTCTTCTTTCTCCTCTCTCTCTCTTCTCCTCTCTCTCTTCTCCTCTCTCTCTCTCTCTCTCTTCTCTTTTCTCTCTCTCTCTCTCTCTCTCTCTCTCTCTCTCTCTCTCTCTCTCTCTCTCTCCTCTCTCTCTCTCTCTCTCTCTCTCTCTCTCTCTCTCTCTCCTCCTCTTCCCTCTCTTTCCTCTCTCTCTCTCTCTCTCTCTCTCTCTCTCTCTCTCTCTCTCTCTCTCTCTCTCTCTCTCTCTCTCTCTTCTCTCTCTCTCTCTCTCTCTCTCTCTCTCTCTCTCTCTCTCTCACTCTTCTTTTTTTTTTTCTTCTTACTCTCACTTTTGCCCCTCCCTATGTAGTCTTTCCTTTCTCATATATTTTAAAGAAAATACATTTTACTGATCCGTTTTTATCTTTGTAATGATACCCCTATTAGGGATATTTTTATGTTTACACTGATATATTCATCATTTATGTTTAAAGAAAATTTATAGTGAATATGAAAATTAAAAGATGATTCTGAAAAGTGTGATAATGTAACTCACTGCTCAAGTGTATGTTTAATTTAAAAGCTATTGGAACACAGAAATTACAGGAAAATTATTAGAAAATATTTGGAATGACAAAATATGCCAACCAGAAAAGAATTAGTAATTTTGATTATGGTATTTCACCAATCACTATTGTATTGATCAGTTTTATACTCTTCTCTAAACTTTACTTAGAAGCAATATTTCTTACCTCTTTAGGACTATTTCTTCTCTTTAAGAGTACTTCTTAGATATGGCTTCAGAAATTTTCCCCCACTCTATTATTTTCTACACTGCGGGCTTTTCTCCTGGCTTCTAACCTTCCCTTACGCTTGGCCAGCTTTAGGAGGACAAACATCTGACTCTCCAATCGACAATCCCCACGTGACGCCCACTCCAGATAAACCCGGTAAGGTATCATTACCTCCTTAGATATCCTCTTCTCTTTCTCTTTGATTATGGATGCTCTCATAGAGTTCATTTGATGTTTTGTTTTACTTCTCAAAAGATTTAGTCATTGGTTTACTCAATTTTGCTATAATTGTAATGTAGT